CTATTAGGGTGGGCAAAATTAAAGTTAATGCTAGTAAAGTTAAAGTTAGAAGTTGGCTAGGAATTACTAATTTAGGATGATCTGTATTTTAACCGGTTAAGTTAGCCGGTTAATTAGTCGGTTAATTTAACCGGTTAAATTAACCGGTTAACCGTTTTTTGAGAGGTCTTAACCGGTTAACCGCCTTAACCGGTTAATTAACCGGTTAACCTTAACCGGTTCCAATCCCTACTAACATATAGTTACTATATAAAAATCAGATTTTTATATTATATGTTCAACATATTGTCAACATATAGTTAAAACAGAGATAACATAAATATGATTATCATATGTCTGGTATATTTTAAAAATATCGCTAACATATTTTTTATATTGATAGGGTTTCTGCAAAGAGTATATTATTGGTTTCTATTTTTTTTGGTTTAGTTTTGAGTTTACGTTGTAAGTTGTAACAAATATTTTAAAGTTTTATTTTAGACATAATATTTAATGGATAATGGATAAATGTGTCTCGCCCCCGTATGATGCTTAAATCTAACAAAATTTTGTAAAATAAAAATTTTTAATATACAAACTTTTTAAAAAAGTATTTTTACCTGCTCTAAAAGTCTACTTAAGCATCAAAGATGGTTTTGAATGTCATTTTGACTTATTTGACAAAACTTTTTTTCGGGTTTGTCCGTTAAATCACGTGTCGTATTTAATTCTGGCCAGAATTAAATGATCGGCATAAAAATATCCTTTTTTGGGATAAAAGCGAGACTTAAGCATCACACATGGGGTTGTATATTAGATTTGCCCTTTTTGTCTTTTCCCTATTTGTTCACAGGCTACTCTCCTACTAAAGGGAAAACAAGTGATCCGATTTGGATAATATTATGGTTGATTTTCAAGATAATCTTACTCCAGATCGTTGATAACTACACGTACCTTTTAACTCAAATTAAATAATATTTTACTATCGACAAGGTGAATTTTTACTTGTAAAAATTAACCAGATTTGTACACTGTAACACTATAATACATACGCGTAAAATTATATTTAAGTTTAAATTATGATTGGTTTCTTTTAAGATGAAGAGTTTGAAGAGAAAAAATATTGGCAGCAGGAACCGTTAGAGCGTCCGAAATGTTCCAGCTTGATAATCAGTGTTGCGTTAACTTCCTCAACCTCAAAATTTGAAAGGTTTAAATGGTTCCTTCCATTTATTAGATATATTATAAGTTTGCATTACACGAATGTTGATCACGTTGGTACTACATAACGATATACATTCAAATTTTCAAAATATATATTATTTATAAGCCAAGTAACCATGTTTAAATTTTCATTTGCATTTTTGGCCTACTTGATCGCATGGAAATTAAGGTTAGATATTGTTAAGCCAGTTCTTGTATGCTTAAAAATAAGCGTATGGGTATATGGTAAGCAGAAGGATAATTGAATAAAATAAATGTTAAATAATATTAATGAACGCAAAGTGAAAATAACTATATGTAAATATTAGTAAATGTATCACTGTCGATCAATTTACGAAGGTTACACAATAAAATAAAATGAAATTTCAGTCAAATGCGAATACGGTATTGCACACACAGGCATATACACTCAGACGCAATATTTGACTCACAAATATAACAAACTATAAAAATAAAAATGAGATAATTTATTTAATAAATACTTTTATTAAAATATAACAGAATTATCTATTATTACATTGATTTAGAACGCATGTATTTATAACAATAAATTCTATGCTAATCATGTTAAGAATATTAAATAAATGCTATATATTTAACAAATGTAATATGTTAAATATGTGTTATATATTTAATATGTTGCATATGTTTAACATGTTAAACATATTAAACATTCGTAACATTTGCAACATTCGTAACATTCGTAACATTCGTAACATGATCGCCGGTCATGTGATTATTCGATTAACACCACTCCCTCCCGGATTTTCAACCCCGTTGAAAATTTCGATGGATTTAAAGACCAAATCCTTATATTCTGCCATACTTAGCTTCCGGATCATAGTGGGGGTTGTATGGGTTGTCCTCATAATCTGTTCAACTCAGGAGACCTCAAATATATAATAGGTTCGGATAGCAATCGTCCGGAAATGTATAGATAATTGTTGTAGAAATTGACCGCGTCTTGTATTATCCCGAATTTCTACTTCCAGAAAATGTCCTAAATAGTAGACATTTGCTAGCATTAATATTCGGTCATCAATGCGCTTGGACCTTTCTATGGCAGCATTGATTAAATCAAATTTTTCTTCCAAGCCTGCGGTAATCGTATAAGGTGGCGGATATGCCACAATTTCGGTTGGTTGTAATTGTCGCAAATCTTCCAAGATTCTTTGATAAGCATTTATTTCGGCCATTTTTTTTTTAAATTAAACAATATATAAATATAATAATAAACAATAAACAATAAACAAAAATAATAATAATAATAAATAAACAAACAAAAAAAAATAATAAATAAACTATATATATATATATATAAAAATAAAAAAAAT